TAGTAGTAGTGGCAGTAGTGATACAAGCAGTAATAGTGGCAGTAGTAGTAGTAGTACTACTAGCACTAGCAGTAGTAATAGTAGTAGTAGTAGTAGTAGTAGTCGTTGGTAGTTAGTTGGTAGTTAGTAGCTAGTAGTTAGTAGTTACTATTAGTAGTAGTCGTAGGAGCAGTAGTAGTAGTAGCCGTAGTAGGAGACGGATTACGATGATGATTATCATTAGTCTTACTATGATTCTTATCAGCATGATCGGTCTTATGCTTCGAGTGTGGTCCACTCCATCATTGGGCACCCCACTCTGCGACAGTCGCCGCACTCAAAGTGCTCATGATACTGGTCGCACCGCTCGTGATCGATATCCCACCAACCCTCTGGGCGTCGGTGGTTTAGGGCGTCTCCTCTTCCACCCCTCCTTCTTCCCCTTCGGGGAGGGGTTTACCCCTCCCCCTACCCCCTCCCCATGGACCTGGACAAGGGGTTCCGCGAGACGTCGGAGCGTTTAAAACGGCCTCGGCGAAGAAGCCAAAATCATTGATTTTATTAAGGTTTGGGCCCCCATTCTGGCCTCTTGGCGGGGACGCTAATTAAAGAGGGCGCGCCGCTGGATGACCCCAAAGGGGGGGGGGGGAACCCCCCCATTTTCCAGATCCGTCTTCGGTGAACCCCCTTCCCCCTCCCCCACTTTCCTCGATCCGTCGTCGGGGAACCCCTCCCCCACCTCCACCCCCTTTCCCGGTCCGTCGTCGGGAACCCCCCCCTTCCCCCCTTTCAAAAGGGGGGGGGGTCCGAAACCCCCCACCATCCCCCCCTCTTGGCCGCCAAATTCACCCCCCCCCCCCCCCTTTCGCCACGGCGCCCCCGGTCTCTGGAACCCGACCCCTACCACCCCTACAACTAATCCCCACCCTTGCCCTAAGCCCTAACCCTAACCCCAAACCCAAATCCTAGCCCAAAACAGTACTCACTACTCATTACGCACTACTCACTGACCACAGCTCACTACCCGCTACTTAGTACTCCCTTCTCAAAACTCACTACTCACTAGTCACGACTCACTACTCACGACCCACGACTCACTACCCACGACGCACTACTCACTACTTCCTATTCTCTACCCACTACCCACTACTCACTACACACTACTCACTACACTACCCACTACTCAATACTCACTACGCACTAAACACACCTCACTACTCACTACTACTACTACTACTACTACCACCACTACTACTACTACTGCTACTACTACTACTACTACTACTACTACTACTATACTACTACTTACTACTACATACTACACTACTACTACGTAACTATTATACTACTACTACTACTACTTAACTACTACTACTACTATTACTTACTACTACTACTACTACTACTACTTCTACTAGTACGACTACGACTACGACTAGACTACGACTACTACTACTACAACTACTACTACTACTACTACTACTACTATACTACTACTACTACTACTACTACTACTACTATACTACTACTACTACTACTACTACTACTACTACTACCTACTACTACTACTACTACTACTACTACTACTACTACTACTACTACTACTACTACTACTACTACTACTACTACTACTACTACTACTACTGACTACTACTACTACTACTACTACTACTACTACTACTACTTTTACTATTACTATACTACTACTACTTACTATACTACGACTACTACTACTACTACTACTACTACTACTATTACTACTACTACTACTACTACTACTACTACTACTACTACTACTACTACTACTACTACTACTACTACTACTACTACCCGCTGATCTCAAATCACGACTCGCTACCCACTAACCACTACCCACTACTCACCACTCACACTTCATTTACCACTAATCACGGCCCATAACACACTACTCACTATCCACTACTCGCTACTCGCTACCCCCTACTCCCTACACAGTACTCGCTACTCACTACTCACTACTCGCTACTCCCTACGCCCTACTCGCTACCCAATACGCACTATTCACTACCCACTACTCACTACTCACTACGCTCCCACTACTCACTACTCACTCCTTCCTACTCCCTACTCACGACTCCCAACCCACTACTCACTACTCACTACCCAGTACCCAATACTCACTACTCACTAGCACGACGCACTACCCATTACTCACTACTCACTAGGCAGTACTCACTACCAACTGACCACTATCCACTACTTACTACGGAGACCACACAATTCACTACTCACTACGCAATGCCCAGGACTCACCACTCACTATCCACTACTCGCTACCCAATAAGACATATTCACTACCCACTACGCACTACTCGCTACAAACTGCTCCCTACTCACTAGGTCACTAGTCGCAAGTCGCTACTCACTACTCACTACTCACTTCTCACTACTCACGACTCACGACTCACGACTCACTAATGTTCTACCCGCCGCTCCCTACTCACTACCGACTACTCAATACCCACCCCTCGCTTCTCACTACTCACTACCCACTACTCACAACTCACTACTCACTACTCACTATTCACTACCCACTACTCGCTACTCCCTACTCGCTACGCACTACTTCCTACTCACTACTCACTACTAACTTCTGGCTACTCCCTCCTCACTACTCACTACTCACAACGCCCTACTCGCTGATCACGACTCACTACTCGATACTCCCTACTCGCTACGCCCTACTCGCTACTCGCTACTGGCTACCCACCACTCACTACTCACTACTCCCTACTCACTGCGCACTACTCACTACTCACTACTCACTACCCACTCCTCGCTATTCGCTACTGTCTATTCCCTCATCCTTGCCCCCTGCTTACTATTCACTATGCACTACACACTACTCACTCCTCACTACTCACAATCCCTTGCTCACTACTTCCTTCCCACTACTCACTCACTACTCACTGAATCTTTGAGCGCTACTCACTACTACCACTACCCATTACCCACTACTCACTACTCACCACTCACGACTCACTGTGCACTACTCACTATCAAATACCCACTGCTCACCAATCGCTACTCAAGAACACTCTACTCTCTACTCACTACCCGAGAGGCCCCCTCCCCAGCCCCCTTGTTCGGCGCAAAGGGGGGGAGGGGGGGGGTCGACCCCCCTCCCCCTTTCCAGCGCCAAGGGGGGGGGGGTCCAGAACCCCCCCACCCCTTCAAGGGAGGGGGGGGGGTTCGGACCCTCCCCCCCCCGTAAGGGGGGGAAAGGGGGGGGGTCGAAAATCTCACACCACCCTTGAAGGTGTGGAGAGGGGGGGGAGGGGGGCTCTGCGAGCACCCCCCCCCCTTTGCATTCAGGGCCATACACTGGCGCGCTGTCCCAATTAAAGTTCCCCTCTTGTTTGATCGATCTCCTCCAGTGGCCCCAAGAAGCGCCCAGGAGGCCCCAAGAGGCCCCAAGATGGCCCCAAGATGGCCCAAGATGGCCAAGAGGCCACCAAGAGGCCCCCAGGAGGCCCCAAAAGGATCCCAAGCGGCCGCAAGAGGCCCCCCCCCGAGGCACCCAAGACGCCAAAGAGCCCCCAACGACCGCCAAGAGACCCCCAAGACGTCCCAACCCGCCCAAGACATACCACAAGAGGCTCCGAGAAGCATCCAATAGACCTCTGGCACTGTTGACTGCTCTCCTCCTCCTCCTCCTCCTCCTCCTCCTCCTCCTCCTCCTCCTCCTCCTCCTCCTCGTTCCTTCCTCATATCCCTTCTCATCCTCCTCCTCCCCCTCCTCCTCCTCCTCTTCCTCCTCCTCCTCCTCCTCCTCCTCCTCCTCCTCCTCCTCCTCCTCCTCCCCTCATCATCACATCATCATCGATCCATCATCACCACCACCACCACCACCACCCCACCACCACCATCATCATCATCATCATCAATCATCATCATCATCAGCAGCAGCAGCAGCAGCAGCAGCAGCAGCATCATCATCATCATCATCATCATCATCATCATCATCATCATCATCATCATCATCATATTCATCCTCATTCTCCCTACTCCCTCATCCATCCATCCAATTTTCTCCTTCGCCCCCACTCCCCTTCACACGGTTCGGCCGTCCCTTTCTTTGCTCCCGCACTTCCCTGATCACCTCTCAACTCGCCTGGGCATCGTTTCTGGATGGGCTGGTGGGGATACTTTTTTTTGGTCGCGGGCGGACGCGGATTCGCAGTCGCCGAGCTGAGAGGTCCAGGCTGGTGGGGATATGCGAAGCGTCTAGAATTCTTGAACGCGTCCTCGCAATTTGCGAAAGCGTCTGCGGTACGCCCTCACGTCGAAGTCTTCGGATTCTGGGAACTCTGTAAATGATCAAGTGCTCTGTCCGATAGATGGCACTGCAAACACCGCCAACTCCGCGTCGGATCACTAGATTTGGTTACGATCATCTCCAACGCCTGCCGCCACTTCCCGTAGCTGGACGTCGGCTCTACCTTCATCGAACTCCAAGAGATTCCCTTGCGGTAGCAGCAGACTTTCGCATGGGTTGCCACCGTCTCGGACGCAACGGCGGGGCACGAGGCTCGAGCTGCATCTCCATGGTGGCCCCCACCGCGCGGTGACCGAGAACAGCAGCTTCGCTGCCTCCCTCAGTCGATGACCATGCCTCGACACCTGGAGCCATCGTCCGCGGCCCGGAGACAGCGGTGCACATTGTGGAGCGCACAAGTTCCGCCGACAACGCGAGATGGCAACTGTGCTGCGGCCGTCGCGCCGCGACGGTGGATGGGCACGGGGCAGCGCTGACAGGGACAACGGACCGACCCTATGACGCGGGTTGCAGGCGGTGAGTCAGGCAGGATCGGGAGGCGGGCGAAAGGGAAATGGAGGGATGGCAGGGATGGAAGAGAGAGGCGGGGTGGGCGGGCAAGCAGGCAAGCAGGGTAGGAAGATAAGAGAGATGACAAGGAAGGGGGGAAAGGGCAAGCCAGACACTGCCATGTATTGCCTGCCCCCGCTCCCCTGCTGATCGCCTCGAGCAAAGCGCGCCAGAGCGAGAAGCCGAACTTCACGGCCCCCTCCACTCGCGATGCGCTTCTACATAGGTTAAGCGAGATTATCCTCCTCTGCTCTCCCGTCCAAATCCCACATCCACCTCATCCTCCTTCTGCTGGTGGCGACCGCTCGGCCGTCCAAGGAGCGAGCCGCCCCGCGGCAGGAACGGCTGAAGAGCCTGCTTAGCACCTACGATCGCGAATGGGGCATGCGCGCCACGCACACGAGCGCGTCGTCGCGCGCACACACCGAAATCAGTTGTAAAAACTATTGGTGATGCCAAAAATGGGTTTTGCAAAACCCCAGAACCGAACGCCATGGGAACTTATAAAACATGGTGTTGTAACAGAGGCACGATTGAGTAAAAAAAAATGATCGGCATCTCGGAATATATTTCGCAAATGATGTGTCCACACAGCATGTCAGTACAATGACAACAATGAACAAACAATGTGTTACTATATATATATATAAACATATGTAGATAAACATTAAAATACGAAAAATAATAGTGACGATGATAAAAAAAACAATACTAATAACACTGAAAACAATAATAATAATAATAATAATAACCGCAGATTCCCCAACAACAAAATATCCTGGTGAAGGACGCAACCATATGCAATTGTGAATAACGCTTTGTGGGTGCCGCTTTCGGTGGGGTTCCTTATGGGGCCACGCAAGGCGTGCCACGAAACGCTGTCCTGGGCGTACGGGGCGCATGGGAGCGCAGCCACTGGGGCCTTCGGTGGAGCTCCCTATGGGGCCACGAAACGTGTGAGGGGTGTGCCGAAATGGGCGCGGCGCCGCCATGCGAACGCAGCCACTGGGGCCTTCGGTGGAGCTCCCTATGGGGCCACGAAACGTGTGAGGGGTGTGCCGAAATCTGTGCGGTGGGCGCATGGGAGCGCAGCCACTGGGGCCTTCGCTGGAGCTCCCTATGGGGCCACGAAACGTGTGAGGGGTGTGCCGAAATGGTGCGGTGGGCGCATGGGAGCGCAGCCACTGGGGCCTTCGCTGGAGCTCCCCATGGGACCACGAAACGTGTGAGGGGTGTGCCGAAATGGGTGCGGTGGGCGCATGGGAGCGCAGCCACTGGGGCCTTCGCTGGAGCTCCCTATGGGGCCACGAAGCGTGTGAGGGGTGTGCCGAAATGGGTGCGGTGGGCGCATGGGAGCGCAGCCACTGGGGCCTTCGCTGGAGCTCCCTATGGGGCCACGAAACGTGTGAGGGGTGTGCCGAAATCTGTGCGGTGGGCGCATGGGAGCGCAGCCACTGGGGCCTTCGCTGGAGCTCCCTATGGGGCCACGAAACGTATGAGGGGTGTGCCGAAATGGGTGCGGTGGGCGCATGGGAGCGCAGCCACTGGGGCCTTCGCTGGAGCTCCCTATGGGGCCACGAAACGTGTGAGGGGTGTGCCGAAATGGGTGCGGTGGGCGCATGGGAGCGCAGCCACTGGGGCCTTCGGTGGAGCTCCCTATGGGGCCACGAAACGTGTGAGGGGTGTGCCAAATGGTGCGGTGGGCGCATGGGAGCGCAGCCACTGGGGCCTTCGCTGGAGCTCCCTATGGGGCCACGAAACGTGTGAGGGGTGTGCCGAAATGGGTGCGGTGGGCGCATGGGAGCGCAGCCACTGGGGCCTTCGGTGGAGCTCCCTATGGGGCCACGAAACGTGTGAGGGGTGTGCCGAAATGGGTGCGGCGGGCGCATGGGAGCGCAGCCACTGGGGCCTTCGCTGGAGCTCCCTATGGGGCCACGAAACGTGTGAGGGGTGTGCCGAAATGGGTGCGGTGGGCGCATGGGAGCGCAGCCACTGGGGCCTTCGCTGGAGCTCCCTATGGGGCTACGAAACGCTGTACTGGGTGGGTGAAACGCAAGGAGGAGGGGGAGGAGGAGAGGAGGAGAGGAGGAGACGCGGGCCACCGTCTCTTCAAAACGAGGACCCAACACCACAGGATGGTTGGGAAAAAGGGATCGCCGCGATACAAATAATGGCAGTACCAATTATGAGCATAATACGGATAATCCAAACCATACAACCAGTATTTTCAATTTTTCACAAAAAAATGATAGTGAAACGAATAATACCGAACGGACACAACGGGAAAACACGCAACAACACATGTCTTTAAACATGCTCATCAAATTAGACCGAACGGGCCCTTCGCGCCGCATGTCAAAATCATTCGAACACCCTTGCGCGCATGCTGAAAGGGGGGCACGATCCAGGTCAGATGACACCGCGCGGGCCACTCGCGCGCGTCGGCCGCGCGCGCATGTCGAATTTTTCCAAAACCTCCATCACCAACGCCAGACCGCAGTCATAGTCATCGGCGTGATTAGCATCGGCGCCGTCATTGCCTTTGCCGTCGTCATTGTCATCACCGTCACCATCATCGCAACTACCATCATCGCGTCTAGCCGCTAGCCTGGTCGACGTCGCCATGATACCGCGCCCGCCCAAGCCATCGACTGGTACTGAAGTACCCGCTGGGAAGTCCCCAGCGGTCAGCGCCACCGCGGCCGCGTCGGTCGCGCCAGACTAGCCGGCCACGGCGCGCGCGAGCATGCGCGGGCTGGCGCGGCGCGGGCTGGCGCGGCAGCAAAGTTGCACCAGCCAACACCAAAAACTCATCGTAATCGCCGCCGCATGGTTTTCGCAAATCAAAGTGCGGGCGGGTGGGCGCGATGATTGCGCGAGCACTGGAATTGACAATTCCAAGGCGTTCAAAATTACTTGCACCACATAGATTCTCCTTTCTAAAATAAGAATGGACTTTACCCCCCCCAGAATTATCGATCCCCCTTTTCGTATTGCAATTTACAAACGATTCTGCCCCATCGCCCATCCTACCTGTGAGTTAACTCTATCCCAGCCAGGCTGGTATCCACACCCCCACCATCCTCTACCAAAAAACTCAAAATCTCAAGTTGTCAAGAAATCCTTGCAAAAAAAAGGAACGAACTGCACACGCGCGCGTCGTCGCGAGCATGCCGAGATCCTTCAAAAACCTTCGGTTCCGGAGTGATTTCAAAATCGAGTTTCCAACAAAACACATACAAAAACAGAGGGTTTCGCAACATTGATTTGCTAAAAAACTTGCGCGCGCTCTAGCGAAAGCTTGAGAAAACGTTGTCAAGATTTTCCAGAAATTCTATCAAACTGGCATCGCGTGCGCGCATGTCGAAATCGTTCGATCGCCCTTGCGCGCGCCGTCGCAAGAATCCTTTGCAAAAAACTAAACGGAGTGCACCCGCGCGCGTCGTCGCGGGCACATGCCGAAATCCTTCAAAAACCTTCGGCTTCGGAGGGATTTCAAAATCCAGTGCCCAAAAAAACATACAAAAACACAGGGTTTCGCAACACGGAGTTTCAACAAAAGCGTGCGCGCGCGCTCTTGCAACGGCGTCGTCGTCGTCGTCGCCGTCCTCCCTCCTCCCTCGTCGTCGTCGTCGTCGTCGCCGTCGTCGTCCTCTGTCTTTCCTCGTCATCGTCCTCGTCCTCTTTGGCGTCGTCGTCGTTTCCGTCGTCGTTGTCGCCGTGGTCGTCCTTCCTCCTCCCTCGTCGTCGTCGTCCGTCGTCGGCGTCTCGTCGTCGTCCCTCCTTTTTCGTCGCCGTCGTCGTTGTCGTCGTCGTCTTCCGTCCTCCCTCGTCGCTGTCGTCGTCGGCGTCGCCGTCCTCCCTCCATTTTCGTCGTTCGCGTCGTCGCCGTCCCCATTCCTCCTTCGTCGTTGTCGCGTTGTCTTCGTCGTCATCCCTCCTCCCTCGTCGTCGTCGTCGGCGTCAGCGACGTCGTCGTCGTCGTCTTCGTCGTCGTCGTCGGCGTCGTCGTCGTCGGCGGCGTCGACGTCGTCGTCGTTGTCCTCGTCGTCGTCGTCGCCGTCGTCGTCGGCGTCGTCGTCGTCGTTCGCGTCGTCGCCGTCCCCATTCCTCCTTCGTCGTTGTCGTCGTTGTCGCCTTCGTCGTCATCCCTCCTCCCTCGTCGTCGTCGTCGGCGTCAGCGACGTCGTCGTCGTCGTCTTCGTCGTCGTCGTCGGCGTCGTCGTCGTCGGCGGCGTCGACGTCGTCGTCGTTGTCCTCGTCGTCGTCGTCGCCGTCGTCGTCGGCGTCGTCGTCGTCGTCCGCGTCGGCGTCGTCGTCGTCGGTGTCGCCGTCGTCGTCATCGTCGTTGTTGTCGTCGTCGAGATCGTCGGAAACGTCGTCGGTGTCGTCGTAGTCGTCGTCGGCGTAATCGTCGTGGTCGTTGTCGCTGTCGTTTTCGGCGTCGCTGTCGTTGCCAAGTGCCCATGTGGTGCCCACCGTCACGGTCTCAAGAGGTCATGCGACCAAGTTGCGGGTGGGAGAGTGGGATGTTTGCACGAGCAATGGAGAGGACAGCTTCAAGACAGTCACAGTGAATTCTCCTTTCTACAAACAATAAAGTCTACCCACCCACCCCAGAGTTAACGGGTCACCTGTTTCGTATTGCAATTTACATACGTTTCTGCCCCATCGTCCATTCTAAAGATGAATTCGTTCTATCCCGGCCAACCCGGTACCACTCCCCGGCGCCATCCTCTGCAAAAACTGTATGCGCGCACTCTCGTTTATCAAAAATCAGAAAGTTTCAGGAATCCCTTGCAAAAAAAAACGAAGTGCACAAGCGCGAGTCGTCGCGCGCGCATGCCGAAATCCTTCAAAAACCTTCAGTGTCGGAAGGATTTCAAAATCGAGCTTCCAAGAAACATACAAAAACATAGGGTTTCGCAACCCTGGTTTGCTAAAAAAATTGCGCGCGCTCTTGCGAAAGCTTAAAAAACCATAAGATTTTCCAGAAATGCTACCAAATGGGCTTCGCGCGTGCGCATGTCGAAATCGTTCGATCGCCCTTGCGCGCGTGACGTCGCGAGAATCCTCTGCAAAACAAGCAACGAAGTGCGCACGCGCGCGTCGTCGCGCGCGCATGCCGAGCTCCTTTAAAAACCTTCAGTTTCGGAAGGATTTCAAAAGCGAATGTCAAAAAAAAACAAAAGCGCAGGG